ATATATATTTAAGTTTCACTGTATTTAGTAAGTAGTAAGAATACTGTTAACAAATGGTATGAATATAATAATAATGATGACTGAAAACTTCATCTTATTTGTATAAGTGTGAAACAATCAAACTTATATTGGAATTGGTTATAATTAAAAAAACTGGAAAGTAAAACGTATGAATATATATTGATAACAGTTGGATTTGTACAACAGATGATTTTCCGAGTATCAGTCTGTTATTTTATCGATGTGATCAATGTACGTTGAACGGAAACCACAGTAACTCTCAAGGAGTTGGTCACATTTATCATGATGTCGTAAAATCAATTTAACTAGAAATAGTTGAATGTTAAGCGTTACCATGAGAACAGCCCTGTTTTGTGTTTGAGAAACTTGATTTCTCCGAGTTAAGGATGTTAGATCATGGCTGTCTCTGAATGAATGACCTTATTCTGATGATAATATAGTGTAAACGATAGTTGGCTAAGTAAAAAATTGAATTGTAAACAGTAGAAAGGATGATTTCATAATTGATCGCTTCTCGAAACATTGGCTTGATCAATTTTTACACACTTTGTCCTAGTTGTTAATATTGGATAAATAGAGCGAAAACCTTGTCAATTAATGACAATTCACCATGAAATGAAGGATGGTTATTCTGAATTAGCATTTATTATGTTCATTATGACTTTATGGATAAAGTCCCACGGATAATATCATTCAATGACTTTAGCCATTAACTAAATATGATTCAGAATACAAGGCCATTGACAATCTTAATATACTCACATTTTTGTTAGTCATAAATAGCACGAAGTATCCGGTAACTAAACAATATCTATTTTGTTTAGTTGTGCTTCTTACTTAAAGTATATCATCTTACCATTCGGTAATTCCAATTATTTCCAAACTGATTTTCCCACTTTCAGTTCTGAATATTTTCTTTTCATATCGGGCAGAGTATTTTCGGGTGTTTCTTATTATATTTCAAATAAATAGGCGAAAAATCTAGTCTATTTTGTCATACCATATTGTGTTTACAACACCACGGTACTGAATTTATTAATTTAAAAAATTCGTTTAAACGGAAAGTAGTTTCTATTATAGATTAACATCGGTTGATGAATTACAACTATTTTATTGTTCATTCTATATGTTCATGTTTCGGTGTAGGAAGTCATTAAATTACTATATATATTCCCCATCTATACATAATCTTCAATATGTTTCTTTTAGATTTTAATCAGCAATGAAAACCAGGATGCACCTTCCGTTCTACATAGAATTCGTCTGATGGATATACCTGTATCACAATGCTGATGTTTACACTGAGAATTAAACCAAGTATTTTTCGTTTTAAATGCTGAAGCTCTATCAATTAATACACTCATTTCAAATGACCATTAACTAGCTCAAAGGGTCTGAGGCTGAATATGTAGTGATCTGTATTTCCCATCGCTGATATTAAAGACTGCGATTCATCAGTCTTCCTTGGCCAATATGAAAACTGAGCAGGTTGCTCCCATACTCTATGTAAAAATCAATATCGAGACCCAGGAATATGTCACTGACGAATTCCAAATAGACACAACTGCTAAATCCTATCCAAAAGTATTTAGGAATTTGTGACTATTATTATTATTACTGTTATCGTTATTATTATTACTATTATTACTATTATACGAATGATCAACCTAAGTTGGATCCCAAGACGACTAGAAATATTGAAACCATGAATCCTTTAACTAATGTGAGCTGAAAGTATAAATTTATTATATTTGCCAATAAATAACAGAAGTTGTATAATTTACTCAAGCAATTGAATTTATTAAAAAAACATAACTAATCATAATTTAATGAACTAAATTTTATTTTAATCAGAGAGGGATTTTGTGCATAATATAGCAATTTAATAGTTAAATTCATGAGTCAGCTGAAGCTAGACCACCATGGAAAACCTGGTAGCACTGGACAGCCGTTTCGTCCTTCCAGGTTTCCGTGATGATCTAGCTTCAGCTGACTCATGAATCTAACCATTAAATGATATTTGATTCTATTCTCTATAACTCTCATTATTCATTCACACATTACCAATTACCTACATATTTAATGATAGCTTAGTAACTAATCAAAATAATTTAACAAAGAAACTATTTCCATCAAATGTTAGGGAAACAAATTTTCCTTCTTTCTAATAGGAAGAATTTTAGCAAACAAATTAGACTGTCTTAATCGTTTCTAATTTATGATGAGATATTTTCCAACACTTTCTATTGGTGCGCTTCGTTAAATAATGAAAAGAAAATACTATTATTTTATTGGTCAATAAATATTGTGCGCTTAGGATATGATAATTTTATGTAAATTCCTATTTGTCGGTTGACATTAAGTGACCGGCCTATATGATTCCCTACCACCCCTTTTAAAAAAATTGTGGGGTGTGAATGAAAAATTTAGGTATCGTTGATTGGTGGACTTGTTTTGCAAGTGTGTGCTCAAGTGATAATGAACAAACATTGTGTTATCTTTAATAATTTTTTGATTGGTCGTAAACGGTTCATCTTTGTAATCTGATTAGTTGAAATCGAAATCGCATCTGGAGCTGTGATTGGATGTCAGAATTTTCATTTTTGACATTTGAAATTTAATGATAATGAATAATCCTTTTTGTGTAATCTTAGTCTTGAAAAAAATTTAGACTTTTGAAGAAAAAGACACCAACTTAATTGCATTACCGTGCAATCCTACTGTTAGTGAATGTGTATTGGGATCAATTTTTGTTTTCCGATCAAGTATACCTTGAATTGAAGTCGTTAATTATCTGAACACGAATAATTATATGTATCTCAGTAAAAGAAAGTTTTTGGGAAAAAGCCACCGAAAACCGGTTTGAATATTTGATAATAAGGATTACTGAATGAGGTCAGTAGTCAAATATTTAATACCAAATTAATAAACAAATTATCACCAAAGTGTGTGCACAGGTTTTTTTGTAACACATGGTGTGTTAATGGGAAAAAGAAATCAACATATCAATAAATCATTATGATAACTTACTGGTTGCAATATGTATAATTCAGGTGAAGCAATCATAGACCATCATTTAATGAACTGACTTAGACAGTATATGAAAGTAGTAATAAATTTTCCGAAATAGACACTTAATATTTAGTAAACGATTATTTTGTAAATGGTCATTCATAATGAGAATTAGACAACGTTAGATTTCAATGCGGTTAATTTGGAAATCCATTGAAACACGGTTCATTATTTTCACTTGTAAATTATTTGTAGTTCTGTATTTTAAAATTAATTTTTTGGTTGTAATAAAAACTAGTGTGTGTTTAATCAGTCATGTGTGAATATTGTTAACCGCCGTAATATGAAACCTGAATTATCTAGACATTATGAATGTAACCATTTTTGACAAGCATTTGAAATATCAGTTTCATGAAGTGTAAATGAACAAGCCTACGTCGTCTGACTGACTCAACAAATATCTATCGACTTTAAACGTATAAATATGAATAAGGTCAACTGTATCAATGAACATTTACAATGTTATTATTATTTAATTTCCTTATTATTATTATTATTATTATTATTATTATTATTATTATTATGTCAATTGACAAGATTCAATTCTCCTACTGTGTATTTCATTGACACCAATTTTTTTGCATTTTCAATTTTCCTATAATACTTAGTCACTTATTGTGACTGAACAGTTTACTGCAAATCATCCCGATCTTTAGTGAATGACCTTTTTAATTTGTAAACATATATATCGTTACAGATGTAAACGTTAACCATTGTTAACACATTACATTGTCAAGTTCATTAATGCCATGCCTTATTTTTGGACTTTATAAAATATTAAAATTATGGACTAACAACTGTATAGTGTGATGATGAAGTTAATGAAAACGATTGTTTGCTAAATTATTTTATATTTTTGAATATTTTAAGGGAATTTTTAACTAGTACAATGTGATTGTACCAGTAATTAATAGTTAAAGAGGTGTGCAAATGAATACGGTGATATAATCAGTAGTTATGAATAACAATGGAGGCTTAGTTTACGATCAGACGTACTTCTTACGTACGCATAGTTCTGGTTTCAGGAACTTTTAATATAAAACAAGAATATGAAATTCTTGTTTTTTGTATTCATGAAACAGCTAATATTCGCATTTCTTTTTACACTTACTATATGACCTTTTATCACATGAATCATTTCAACGATGATGGTTTCAACTTGTTTTCTAATGTCATTATTTTATTCCTAAATAAGTTAATTTTCTCAATTTTGGTTACTTCTCTATGAGCTTTAATCACATTCATCTTTGTAATAATATTCACTAATAAATGTCATCATAAATTTATTGACCTAACGACATCATTACGATTTTCACTATTTTAAAATATTCCTATTAAAATGTACTCAAAATGTACTATTATTAGATAGATTTCAAATGTGTTACTAAAACATGAACGGTAATCACATTATTTTAAATATAAAATTACTAGATTAGTCTTTATTAGATGACAAAATCTTGTCTAAGTTTTCTTAACCTTTATATCTAATAAACGTTAGAAACAAGTTTACGAATACATGAGCGACAATCGCTTTTCCATTATTAATCTCTAAGGGATATCTAAATTCATGAGACATTAACAGGTGCTTAATCACTTGACCTTTGCCGCGGAAAAGTAGTAGATAAAAAATAATGGAAATCAAATTGTGGGTGGCCCTGAAAAGGGCCTTTACTCGTTCTCGCGGTCGGACGTCGTCACTATTAGTTTGTAATGGCGCCACGAAACACTTACCCTCTTTATCACATTCCGAACAAGGTGTACGCGACACAGAATATGGTGTGCATCCGGATACACCTGCGTAATAGCAGCAGCAATTGCAGGTGAATCATCGGTCACAATGCCTACCAGTTGTCGACTGTTGGTACACCGTTGGAAAAAATGCAGGAAGGCAGAAATTAATGTTGACGTTTCGCGACTTAAAAAGGCAATGCACATGGGTATTGCTTTAAAATTCATATCCAGGGCAACGACTTGATATAAATGGACGTTCTCGTTATTCGTTTTGTACGTCCCGTCAAAACCAATTACGTCACAAAAGTGACCGGCCAAATTCATTTGTTCAGCAGTCATGAAGAAGAAATACGATAGACAGTTCTCATCGTCCAATTCGTATTCGCAAAGCCCACCCAAGGATGTTATGTGAGCTTTCAATTTCCCGTAATCACCTATAGTGTATATTATAAATTGGCAAATTCCGTACCAGGAAGGTTCGCGTGTGAGAACACTTTGTACCGCATATTGCAGACATCTTGAGCGGTCAGACATTTGCCATAAGATTGGTAAGCAAAATTCTTTATGTGGAATGCAGCGGTACCGGAAATCAGCAGCGGTCTCACAGTTTCAAACTCCCCATCCGTTAACCTGCGCACCCATGAATTACCCTGGTACCTCAGGGAATTGCACTCGTGATTGTGATGTACATTCCCACGTACAACAGTCCAATAGCCGTCTATAATCTTACAAAACATAAATGCTGGACATTGGGTGTTCATAGAAGCCCTTCGTTCAAAAAATTATAAAACAATTTACCAAATTACCTCCTCCGTCTAATACGTTGTGACGAACCGCTAGATCTTATACGCCCATTTCGCCAACACACAAATTTAATGTAGGATTTTTGATCTCTGCCAATATGCGAATCTCTCACTACATAATGACTGTAAGTCGATCTTTCAAAATTTGTGATAGTGGTCTTTAACGCTTCAACCGATGGAAACGCAACCAGAAACAAGGTAGTCAAAAAGACTTCCTCCATTTCCGTTACGTGAGAAACACCAGCGCTTGTACTCGGCACGTTACTCTGCTCCATAATGACGATTGAGATTGTGCTTCGTCGACAAGTACTGATAATTTATAACAATTTTCAAGACATAACTAACCAATTAAATCTAATTTTTGAAACTAGCCATTTCATTGGACGAAACACGGGATGAAAAATATTGTAATTTTGGGGTTGAAAATTTTTTTTTATGGGGTGGGGTTTTTTTTTTAAAAAAAATGGCCGGTCGGACAATATTATTCCTATTTGTCAAAAATATGACCAATCAAATAAGCACATTTTCAAGAAGCGGGTTTCACCCGCATCATATATAAACGAGAACTGAAGTTAAGGGACCATCATTTTCCTTTAAGGAATTTTCCAACTTTCAACTTACCCTGATTATGGAGGTTTGTGAAGCAACCAGTATAACTGGTCAAGGCTTCGTAGACGCGGCCTATTTTCGTGACTTCTATTTGCATGAACAACTAACTGATGTAAAACAGCATCTTCCAAATCGTGATTACCCATATCCAATTACACAACATCAGACTTTTTATGAAAATGTATCAACATTTTCATTTCCACAAATCACTACTGTTACCACAATTTCACCTAGCGTTACTTCACAGAATTACACTCTGAATAATTTTGGTAATGACAGTCAACGACAATGCCATCATCGTTTACCATCTACTCTACAAACGATGTCATCAACTTCTGAAAATTTCTACCCTAAAGAAATGTCCACTGATCAAACGTACGCACAACATCAATTTCACCTTCCACAACAACAACAAGGTCTTTCACAATATTTCCATCATCAGAGTAATAATCATTATGATAAAAATGTAGTCGAAGATCACAAAATGAATCAATTTAAATTTACGGATGAAACTGTTGTTATGACTACTACTTCCGTTATTGCTTCTGCTGCTGATACAATAACTTGTACTAACACGACAGCTTCCACTACTATTCCGTACACAGTCAGACAAAATGTCTCATATTCCACTCCCATTACAAATGAAAAACAAGACCATACATTGAACAACTTTAATTTATGTAGTACCATACTATCGAACACAGATACGAATATCTCCCAATGGGATGTGAATGACCCGAAATTGCCAAAAGTAAGTAATACTGTATACTACTTACCTGTTACCTATAATGTATTAGTAGTACAGAGATTCGTATTTAAAAGTAGTTAATACCAATTAAGTAATAATGATATACATACAATTTTATGACAATCTTCATGTTTTAGGAGTGAAAATTAATTCCAAATTTTCTAAAATTGGCATAAAATGAATAGTTGATTCAATTTGAAATGAAATATTAAAGGAATTAGGTGTTTGTGATATTTGGATTTATTTAAAGCCAGTTGAATAAATAAATAAATAAATGGCCTGCTTATTTGACAACTAACAAGTTTACCTCCAATATTATTAGGAAAATTGGTCTTTTTGATTTCATATTGTTTAGGATAATAGGTGGCTGTAAAACTTGCAATGTATACTTTATTTTTGTCCATATCACACACAAGTCGGTCCACCTTCCCAACTTATCATCACTTCAAACCCTTGATACGTAGTGAATTAAGATTACAATAAATTTGATTTAAAATTATCTACAAAAATGATTTATTGTTTCAGCAACTCATCTTTAAGTCTCCTGTAGCCAAATTTCGAGTTTCTATGTCATCTATTGCTGTTTAAATAGTCAGTTATTATACATAATACACAGTGTACTTTCAAATTTCTCAATTTGTTTTTAATCAGTGACTGATTGATGTTTATCATTATCTATCTAATGTCAGTAGATTATTGGATTAAATTAATCGAGTAAAGCGAAGAATAGTATTGAAATTCGCTGGTAATATTCAAACTACTAGGAGTCGGATTAAACTACTCAAGACATATGATTATAATAGTTTGGTGAAATCAATAATGATAAATTCCATGGCTTTCATATGAATTATTTCATAGAAATATATTACTTATGAATATATATATATATATGCATAATTAACGTCTTTTTTAATTACTGTCTTTATGTTTAGATTCGGCAATTCGATACATTTACAATGTGGCCACAAGGTCATTGTCGTTATGCGTATAAAAAATCCCAATCTGAGGGAGCTCGACGTCATGCTAGCGGTTGGGCAATGCGTAATACCAATAATCATAACTCACAAATACTAAAAAATCGTGTCTTGGTGTATTGTTATGTACATCTAAACAATGCACATTGGCTATGCGTCCAGCCATCTGTGATAAAGCAAGACGACGCCAAGAAGGTGAGTTGATATTCCATGAATTGTAATGTATAGATTAATGAGGATTTATTTCTTTAATCTCGTGCGCATAAACACTCAACCTATAGGCCACTGAGTCAATATCTAACAGTGTTAAAGTCTAACATTAATCGATTCACTACTAGCTTCGAGGGGAAATTTCGTAAGTTCTCATAAGAAGTCTTGACTCGACTTGTCGGGTGTGAAGAAGATAGTCAACGTAGATGATGGAAGATGGTAACACAATGTCGTGAATTGATTGAAGTTAGACATTAGCACCACTGAGTGCCGACTCAGTGGTCTAGAAGTTAGGCATTCGCGAGTGACACCGAGTTCATTTACATCTCTCTGTGTTATGGATACACATAGAAACAGCCGTCTATTGCTTCTATTTTTTCGATAGTTGTCAAACTTTGATCAGTCTGTGACTTGAATGAAATAAAACAATTATTGATTCATCTCTAATTTTAACAAGTTCTTTATCTGACATCAGTTCGTAATTCAATTAACTAATTTAATATTCAAAATCTAAATTTCTTTTGAAATTCATTCATTCTCTTCATGTGTTACTCTCTATCTACTGATTAATGATTATAACCATAATATAAGATCAGCTTCCAAAAAGTTTATTGAACATAAATTGTCTGTCCATCTGTTTACAAGTAAATTATATGCTCTCTTTTTCTTTATTCTTTTTAACTGTATGATCATTAACTAAGATTGTCAACATCATTCATAATCAATCAATTGATCAAAAGAGTATTAAAATTGTTTATATGTTCTTGCATGTGTGTTTTTCTGTTTTATCTTCGCGTGTATACTCATACATTTATATGTACATGTTATGTCACCAGGTGATAATATACAAATTAAAATATTTGGTAAATGATATAATATTGAATAACTCCCTTTGATATTAAATAAATACTTTCACACCTTTTATTATTATTATTATTATTACTGATAATGATGATAAAGTTTATGTCTTTTTCTTTCATTCTCTCGCTTTTCACTTCAAACTCAACTTGAAACACATGTTCAATTCATCAGATATTATTATTATTGACACATGACCATATGATACCATGTAGATTATGAATACAACTTCCTTCCTTCTAGATGTATATACATTTCTTCATATATATTTATATATCCATGCATAAACACACAAAATCAAGAATAGCAAAGTCAAACAAGAGATTAATTATTAAACTGCAGTGAAATAATTCAAATTAACCTGAAAATAATTATATACTATCAATAAACAGTAATAATAGTAGTAATAAAAACTAAGCAGTGAATATATATTTAATATAAACTTGTCAAGTTCAAATGTGAAAACATTTGGATATCCATAAAGTGTTTATGAAGAGATTACAAGGTTCTTGAATTGTATATACTACTTCAGTTCATTGGTATTTACTGTTAGATTGTCTAAAATGTAGGATGAAATTATTGTTTAACTCATCTACTTTATTTGTAATAGATCATTAAATACTGATTATATCCGTTAATTATTGATTGAGTTCGAATAAGAAGAAGTGTAATGTTACAATTATAAAAAGTATATATTTAAGAACTAGATCTTATCATTTTATTTTAAGAAGTGTACACCTACTACTTATGGTTAATTCGACTTAAATAATATTGAAAGTTCACTAGTATGCACAAGACTAATTACCATTATCAGTAATTTTTATCATAAAAATTGTTTTAACGCCATGCTTTTATCATGTGAATTTAACTATTATAACTAATTTTTTTTACAATATAATCTAGGTCGACAATGTTGTATGCCAAATTGCACTGGACGTATTTACATTCAATCATGTCATGGACATGGAGGTTATCCTGTGACACATTTTTGGCGTGAACATGGTGATACAATTTATTTTCAAGCTAAAGGTACACATGATCATATACGACCTGATTTAAAACCAGTTCGTGATACAGCGGCTAGACGTCGTAAACATCAACAACAAAATATGGAACAAATAGAAAGTGGAGGCGAACAACGACAACATCAGCAAAAAGTTTCACGTTTACACAATATGAAAAATGTTAAATGTGTTGGTTTAGCACAACAGCAACACGAGAAAAAAATGACGCTTATTTCAAATCCATTGAATTTGCCTTATACAACTGAAGTGATATTACCAAATAATACTACTATCAATAATATTACGCCGACTATTGATTATGGAGTTGATGTGGACATGACGACGTTTCAACATCATGTTAACAATGATCAACGTTCCAATCAATTTTTACAAATGCATTATAATAAAAGAATAAATACTGACCATGGTGAGTTGTGTATTTTACAGTATGAATTTTTAAACATTATTATCACAGAGAAGATTGTTGGATTTTGTTGAGACCACAAGCAAGTTTACGTTAAAAAAGAATTGAAGACCTGGAAATACTAGGTAGCAGCCTTATTTAGAGGTCAATAGCTCGAGTGCGATATGTCCTAATCGTGGAGTCATCGATGCACATGTTTGACGGGTCATATACTAGGATGAAACGGCCATCCAGTGCTTCCAGGTTTTCAGTAGTTGTCTAACTCAGATCAGTTTACGGTCTCAACAAAAATTATTATTTAGTTCGATAAATTGCTAAGGATAGTTTTTTCCAAAATTTCCAACGTCTATTCAACCAATATCACACTATATGACCGAAATGACCAACTTTCATAAATCAGCGCACAAAACTAAAATAATTATGAGCTTGCTATTGATAAACTGTTAATTTGTATACATTCCAGTCATAATTAGTGAGATTCAGACATCAAGAAACGTGTATTATTTGCTGTAACGTTGAGTAATGAATGTACAACATTGTGAATCAGTTAAAGATGATAACAGTTGAACCGTTATATCTCGTTATTTTACATTAAGCACTAATTTTAGCTAGAAAATCACTGGAAATTCAGAAGTAATAGATAACGTTTTCATCCTCGGTAGCGTAAATCCACGACCCAATTACAATGGATTGATCCCATTATTTCTAGGTTTCATGGCAAGCATCTAACATTTATATAAGTGGACTGATATCCAATAGTTTGTATAGATAAGTTCAATCAACTCGCAACAATGTGTAACAGCTTCCCTAGTTTAAATACTTGTCTAGATGAGATAAATATTTGATGTATACTATAAAATACAATAATCTCCAGAAAACTGTTACATTAGATTTCAGTTCAATAGTTCATAACAATATTATATTTGTCACAGAACTCAAAACGGTCTTCAAACTATGACAAAACAATAAGCTTTTTTTCAACAGTTAATGCAATCAAAATCTTAAATCAGATTACTTAGTGTAATATTTTACTTCACTGTTATTCACTCCACCTGTAAAGTAAAAAAATACAGAGTATTCAACAATCGAAAGTCGGCATCTGAATAATCAATTTGTGTCGACAGTATCGATAATCAACTTTTAATTTGTAGCCCCCAATGATGACAATTATCAGTAAACATGTTGATAGTTTAAAGTAATTTGACTATTTGTCAAAATTATATTTTTGTTTACTCTACCTTTCATTTTATCAATCCTTTTTCTCATAATGACCATGTATGATGAAATGATAAAGATCTATGTACATTCATACCACATCCTATGCTGTCTATGCTTGAGTAATTGAATACCTGGAAATTAAATTTGGTTTATTGTTTAAAAGATAAATTTATTTATTAAAAGTGTAAATGTAAAGTATGGTTGAATATTTCACTATGATAACCATCACAACCAATCGTACAAATACCTTCAGTATTTATGGATCAAAATCTATGACGTTAAGAATCATTTCGCTTCTCTAATGTAAAAATTGTATTTGAATAGTTTCATGTTTCAATCTAATCCAAGTTACTTCCAGGAAACTAATTAAAGTTGAAACATTGATTTTGGAATTATTCAAAACAAAATCATTGAGATTAGTTCAAATATAATATTTACATTTAATGCCTTATATATATATCGTGGATTAGTTGAAGTTAAACATTAACACCGTTGGATACCGGATCAGTGGTCTAATGGTTAAGCGCTCGTGGGCGAGTCTGATAGGGTCTGGGTTCGAATCTCGCGAGGCGGGATCGTGGATGCACACTGCTGAGGAGTCCCGCAGTGGGACGAAACGACCGTCCAGTGTTTGCGGATTTTCCATGGTGGTCTAGTTTCAACTGACTCATGATCTCAACTATTAAACTTATATATACATATACTTAGTGAACAGTGTTTTGTTAAATAATTCGTTAAATGTTTGACAAAATATTCATTTAAATACACTATTATATTTAAACAAGTAAAACTTATTAGAATGAATGAGAAATTACTGTCTGTTCTTATTTGTTATCTTTTTAATTTTTATCAATCTAGATTTGAATAAACCAATATCAACAGTCAATTCTTATTGTGATAATGTAATAACAAGAAAAGAACCAATATTCCCAGGTTCAAATCCATTTGAAAATAATAATGAATTAGATTTACTTGATACTGTAACAATGATGACAACAGAAACATTGCCAACTACGATTACTAATACAACTAATACTAATGATACAGTAAAAAATCTACTAATGATATCGAAAAATGTTAATAATTCATTAGAAATAACTAAAAGTGCATTATCACAAAATACAATAATAAAACCATCAATCAACAATTACAATGATAATCAATCATACGATACAACACCAACGACGAGTACACTTGATTCTTCAACTTTTCCACACAACGATACTTACATTACGTCACCAGGAGAAAAATTCAATTCCACCTATACTCAACGAGATTCTATCGGGACTAATAACGATCACGATAACAATAATAATCATTATTATCAAAGTCAAATGAACTTAACTCCAACGAAATTATCTACATCATCAGCTTGTAACACATTTTATCGATATCATTTTATGAATCAATTATTAATGAATTCTCAGTTAAATCCTTTAAATACTACTTACAATTATCAGAATCATAGTAGTAATAGTAATACATGTGGTACAAATAGTGAATCTACATCAACTTATGGTTTAAATGCCTCATGGTCAACACCATCACCGCCAACATTTGGTGGTGTTGGTAGTAATTCCAGCTTATTGAACAATAATAATACAGTGTATAATGATACGACTATTGATGAAATTCCAATACATAATGAAGTATCATTAGATTCTTTGAAAGATCTACAATCATCCTTATTGAATAATATACAAGAAGTAAATAATGCAGGGATTAATCGTTATGATTCTGTGAACGTTTTTAGTCACAATAATGATAATAATATTAATGTGGAAAGTTCTTCAACCTACTATGATTCAATGAGTCAGCAATTATATCATCATAATAGTAATTATTATTCAAGATGTATGCATAAAATTAATTTGGCCGGTTATCAGTTAACTGCACCACATCAGCAGTATAATTTTAATAATATTAATGACAATTCAAATGATCATTTGTTATCTATCAATCAAACAGGTTTAACACCATCAGTATTTATGTCATCCAGTACACCAATATCAACGATGCCATCAAAAACAATGTCTAGGTTGTATTCATCTGATGATAAACATACCTTGCATACACCTGCAAGTAGGATGACACAAATGCCTGGAGGAACAGAACCGGACTCCAATCATGCACCTAATAATAACAACATAGGATTTAGTTATATCGCTCCAATACCGTTTTACTTGAATAGTAGTTCCGAGTCAAGAAGTACACGAACAGATAGTTCCAGTGATAGTAGTCAATCAAAACAAATTATGCTATAGTATCTTATTTCCTATGCTCCTCATCATATATACATACATTCTATCAGCATTAAATATCAAATCTACCTGAAAATGTACAGAGATTTCGCATGTAGAGAATATGAATATAATTCTATTTTTTTTAAATAATTTTATTGAGTAACACTGATATTTTTTACATTGTTTTTGTTTTACAGATGTAAATTTATGATTCTTCTTTTTCACCTTCTATGTTAGATTGGTTTTCGGACCAATTCCAGATATATTAAAATATTTTCACTATAACAACTATAGATTTTGTCAATAGAAATATTATTCTAAGAAAAATAATGAGATGTATATGATTAAAACAAGATCTCCAATAAATACCCAATGTATATTGTAAATATTATTATTATTTTTTTTTATTATTTTTTTGTAAATCGAAAAAAATTAATTAAATTTATTCCATGATTATTCATAAAATTTTGTTTTCTTATTGGTCGGAAAATTAACCAATCAGAAGTGAGGAATATGTTATCAGCAAGTTGTAGATATTATTATCAGAACGGGTTGTGTGGAGATATTTAGAAATTTCATTTGTTGAAATCATGAGTCAATTGGTTGAAGTTAGACATTAACACCGTTGGATACCGACCGGCTCAGTGGTCTAGTTGGTTAAGCGCCTAGTGCGAGAGTGATAGGTCCTGGGCTCAAATCTCGCGGGGTGCGGGATCGTGGATGCACACTGTTGAGGAGTCCCATACTAGGAAGAAACGGCCGTCCAGTGCTTGGGGGTTTTCCATGGTGGTCTAGCTTCAATTGACTCACGATTTCAATAAGTGAAACTGTAGATAGCTAATAATTCCTGTAAAATGAGAAAGATTTTTAAAAAATGAATCAGTAAATAATTTTATTTCAAACACTAGGTGACATAAAAGTAAATTAGAGATCTCCTCAGAGTCATAATAATTGATTGAGCTAATGTTATAATATATATGTAACAACAAATTTAATTAGGAATGTGATCGCCTTTTGAACAAACACACCTCTTTCTAACAAATAAGTCAAGTTTAAGTTGATCTGCATGTCAAGAAAGCGTAATCTTATTCTTTCAGTAAAATTATTCCAAATATGATTTGTAGTAGTAAAATTCTCTATTTATCTTTCCGCAATGTTCAACGTCTATTACATAAGAAGAAAATGGAATTGTTTCTATATTTCGTAAGTTACACTAAAATAATCACGAAGTTATATGCTCTAAGCATTGAAGGGGAAGACCTATAATTATTAGATCTGTAAATTAATATAAACAAAATGAAAATGATTAATTGACAATGTGATATTTATACGAGTAGAAAGTTATCGTCAGATAAAATTATTGTAACTTATTCAACGTTCAAACCATATCAGAACTAGGGTACCTAGACCATTTATATTTTTTTACTCATGTTTTTCTACAGCCGAAATTTGCTATAATTGGATTGTAAAACAATAAATAACTCTAATTATGATTTAATAATCACTGAGCAGAGACTAATATCATTTTTCTATCGTCCTTTCTGGTATCTATCAAACTCGATTGACGAAGTCTCGATGTGGCCACTAATCCAGTGATTTAGCTTCGTATACACTACGTTCAGGCATTAGGTGTTTAGAAATGATCAGCAACCTGACTGGTAGAATTCACTCACCATTCTTGATGACTGCCTATAACCACCTATCATTTTAAGATAGAATTTGTTGCAGTGTGATGTCACTTAAAGAACTATTTAAAAACCATAAAGCGTTGGAAAACTGATCCCTTCTTGTTTAGTACTGTTCAACAGTGTGTCTTTACAACACTGTTAGGGATGGAATTTAAGTCTAACTAATTTGGAACTCAATGATCCACATTTTTATTTTCAGATGATTTTAATGTAGTAAAATAGTCATTCAGTTCTTCCAGGCATTTACTACAATACAACCTGCAAGGTTATATCTTACTAGTTATAACTTCATACCGCAAAGCAAATAGTCCGATCGGTCGCTTTCATTCTATTTCATAACTCCTCATGAGGGTTGATCTCATACTGTTAAATATGAAGATAATCTATATCTCAAAGACTCAAATATTATGTATTTATAACCAAGTTTAAAGTTATTAGTGAGCAATATATGCATACTGACTAGCTGTTATTTAGCCTTGTTATTGATTTTTCTTGTTTATTCATATAACTGTGTGTGTATGTCATTGGATAAGAGTGTCTAAATCATTTGGAGCCTGTTTTTAGTCGAACAATACTATTAAAAACTAATAGTAAATTTCAACTAACCTGTTTTTTTTTATCATATCACATGTAGCAACATTATTTAAATGAACGATATGTTTATAGTACACACTCTAATAACTTTACTGTACACTAAATTGTATATTATGCTTCTATTTACTTATTCATCATTAGATGAAATAAATTTAGCTATTGTTTTTCTAGGATGAAAAAAATATCCTTGCAAAGATAAGTGAAACAATCAATCGATATCTTGACTTTCTTATCTATGCATAAGCATTAGTAGGGTATATACATACTTTTACGCCTGTTGTCAAGGTATTTTTTGTCTAGTAGTAATAAAAATGATTTTCTTTGCATAGTTGTCGGTATTAGTCTGTGTATATTTATAAATTTGTATGTATGTAAGAGTATACAGTCTGTCACACAATATGATCGACCCCATTAACTATATATTTTACATTAGAAATATATATAATTTATTAATATTACTAACATTCCTGTTATAGTATAACCACAATCACGTACTGTCAAGTAAATTTTCATATTTTATAAATATTATAATTGTTTACAAGGGTGAGTAGTATGGTAGTCATAGCAGATCATTAGCTAAGAAGAGGTTATTAGTCTTTGACTTCAAAACATTAACTCGTATATATTTATCATTTTCTCATGTTCCATTCCATGTTGAACTTGATTCGAATTATAAGACAAGAATATAAATGCATATATATCATTTTTATATGTACTATGCCTCATTGTCACACCCACCCATTCACTTACTTCAAAAACAAATATATTCACACACACAAGCTGAACGTTAATGTATGCATTTAGGTAGTAATAATAATGATAATAATAATAATAATAATAATAATAATATCGAAACCGTCCACAATTTAAATCACATTCTCATATCACTGAACTGTTGTCAACCTATCAACCAACCAACCAACCAAAAGAAAACAATCATTATATGAGAAATATAATGTTTGTATTTTGTTGAGAAAAAAAAGCCATTAAAAATAAATTATGCCTAATTGTCAAACTGGTCTATATGTTGTCCTTCTTAGTCTAGTGATTATTATTATCAATAACAATTACAATAGCTAATAATATTCATCTATTCTTGAAGAAAAAAGTATATTGATACTCATTGAACACAGCTAATGTGATGATTGCCTATACGCGCATCATCTGTAATGTATACAAGAAAACATGTTTAAACAAGTCATTCTTTTTATCAATGTTTAATTTTGATTTGATTTGATTTCAAATGATTAACTGATATTGGCTTTGATTATTATGTCTGAGAGAATAGAGTTAAACATGGCTTTGATTATTATTATTAAGATTACTGTGTTTTTTTCTGTTTCGTTTGACTCTGTTTTGCTTGTTTCTTCATCATTTTTTTCTTTATGTCGAATTTTTTCTATTTATTTAAAAGGCAGGAATTAAGCAAAACTGTTTTTTCTTTTATATTTAAAAAATAATTCAACTTGGTAAGGCGCCAATATACATTTTACAATGTAAATGATTCTTAGTATGATTTTTAAGTCAACTCATTCTTTTCTATATCCTGTATGAATAGGTCAGACTTAAGATTACATTGTCAATTAATTCAAGTATTGACTGAATCGATGACAAAAGGAGCAAGTTGATTCTGTTTGTTCTAATCAAATGAATGAAAAAAATATTTGTTTTGACCAATAACTTTCTATAGTTGGATAATGGCTAACAGTAGAATCTACGCAACGTATTTGATCCTACTGGAGACTTATCAATTGTATGCATAATCTTGGACTTAAACCTAATACATTTTACTTTAAACACTAAAATCTTTGTCTATTGAATTATGAAATTCATCAATAAAATCCAGGCACATAAATGAGAAGAAACCTAAATATCTCCGTTATTTACAAGGTGAACATGAATTTGACGAAATATCAAATCGACGGACAAATCGATTTATAATCCCGAACATACAGAGAAAAAGAGAGAGAGAGAGATAAAGAGAGCAAGTGAGGTTGAATTCGAAATTCTTTTCATTATAATCAGATAACAGATAAGTCGAAGGAAAAAATTATATTATTACTTGAATGATGATCATGAATATGATATGATGTGAGCAGAAATTTCATCCTAAGAATAACATATCAAAATCACAAGAATAAGTCATAACTACAGAGGAAAAAATCTCATCACATAGTAACTATGATGATGATAATTATTATATTAAAGCGATTTTTAAAAAATTAAAAAAAACATAAACTCACGTGAATACCGATACACATAAAATGTAAAAAGCTATATCAGTTACCGACTAGAGTAAAATATCTTTTCCGCTTATTTAAGTTTGACAGTGATTTGATCAATGTTAATTTGTGAAGCGAATATAAACATACACATAGACACATACAAATATATACACATATAGAAACAGAAGCAAAAAAACGGATTCAAGTTCTTACAAAACACCTAATTACATTTAATCTGATATCATCATCGCTATAATCATCATTAAACTAATTATGATCACCGTCAAAATTTATGCAAGTAGCCAAGACAACAGAAATTTTATCGTAAAAAAAGACTGATTAATTCACTGTTTATGGTCTGACATTGATGTTCACTACACCCACTTATTTATTTATTTATTTATTTATTTATTCATCCACCCAACTCACCTTCATACCCATTATTCAATTAAAACTCAGTTCATTTATATAGAAAGCCGAAGTTATAAAATCACATATATTTATGGTTCATTTG